AAGAGACAGGACAAAAATTGTACACCTATGGATGAGGACAGTGGGTTGGGGAGGGTAAGGGCAGAGGGTGGGGTGGGAACTGGGTGGAGGGAAGCTATGGGGGGAATAAAGAGGAACAACTGTAATAATCTGAATAATAAAGATTTAATTTTAAAAAGAAAAAAAGGGGGGGAGAGCTTGGATATCTCTCTCTCATCTGCTTCTTCCTCCGCCTTCTGACCACTTCTCTATTGCTCTCTTGCCTTTCCGGCATCCCCACCCCCAACACTATCACTACTTCCTCCCATTCCAGGGTTCACCTCAGATGGCATGGGCTCCATATTTATGCCCCATCCACCACCTGCGGGAGACTCTCACAGCCAGCGCAGGTTCCCAGAGTGAGCCAGTTTTCTGTCGTATGGAGGGAGAAATCCACCATTGACCTCGTGTGACCAAAGAGGCTGCCGTGGGCTCAGTTTGAGTTGTACAGACAGCAAACAGTTCAAGTAGGCAAGCTTCCCATGGAATCGTCCCTGCAAATACTCAACCTGTGGGGTGGGGAGCAGCCACTGGCCTGGTTAGAGGCCAAGACAGAGGCTCAAGAAGAGATGGATTTTGGATGATCTGCATTTCTTCTGTCTAAACTGAAGACCCTGCTAGATGACATGAGTGGCAATAAACAAATTGAAGTAGACTATAGGGAAGAACCTGCCAGTAGCGCTGTTCTCCCAGGCGATCAAAGGCATAGTGGAATCATTCATTGGGTGCTCACAGGCTGGCTAAGGGTTAGATTACGGGACAGGACCAGTTTGGGACAGCCAGTGACATTGCCTCCAAGATCAGCAGTGTAGGCGGTTGGAATGAAGAATGGAGATTTCCTTGAGGCTACACCCCTATTTGGGAGTGCCCAGAGGAGACACCAGGAATCTAGGGCTTTAGTCTCCTGCCAGGTACATAGTTAGTGATCAATAAACATGCTGAGTGAATGAATGAGCCCCTAAGGCAGGTCCAGAGAGCTGAGGCCTACCCTGCTCCCGGCTCCCACTGTTCCCTGGTTCTGATAGATTAGGGCAGCAATTTTCAACCCTCATCTCACGGCACACGTCATTACTAAAATTCTGTGGCACACCAAAACATATCTTCTGCCGAGCTGACACGCACACGAAAGTTTAAACTAAAAGAAAACCCTCACTCACGGAGTGAGGATATTGTTTCCACTGAGAGTGTGAAAGGGAGGTTGCCTCTTCTTGCGCCCCAACTGGGATTGAACCTGCAACCAAGGTACATGCCTTTGGCTGGGAATCGAACCCAAGACTCAGGGGTCTGTGGGCCAATACTCTCATCATTGAGCAAACTGGCCGGGGCAGGTATAATTTTGATTCATTCCCACCGGACGGCTATTGTGGTGGTGGCTGTTGTTATTTTTTTATTTGGAAATCTAAGGGCAAAGAGGTCGGTGCCCCTGACTAATCTGGCATTGCATGTTTTAACAATTCCTGCAGCACATGGGTTGAAAAATCACAGGCCCAGGGTCTTGCTTCTTGCCCACTCACCAGGGTGGAGAAGACAGCATCCCCGCAGGACTGGACGAAGGAAGGAGAGAAGCCCTGGGGCCTACCAGGCACTGTCTAGGGCCAGCGAACCTTAGGGCAATCACCGATGGCTCTCCCTGGGCTCAGATTCCACCCCCTTCCTACCTGAGGTCTCAAAGCTTAAGGCAACAGTTCTCTAACCCCAAGTGGGGGGAGGGGGAGGGGGAGGTAAGGGAGGGGGAGGGAGGCATCAGCATAATGCCCTTCCCAGCTCAGTCCCCCTGGGAGGCAGGCATCCGAGGAGCTGTTCTGGCAGAAGAGACCCAGCGGCCAGTTTGGACTGGGAAAGGCTCGGTAAGCCTCTCGGCCGCGGAAGTGACTGACAAGCATTAGCTAACTGTCTCTCTTCAAAGGCAGGAGGAAGCAGCAGGGAGGAGCAGGGTACGTGCCCAAGCTTGACTCCGGGGCGATGTATACTCATCGCACAGAGTCTCGGACGTCACCTGGCCCATGGCCCTCAGAAACCATGATGCCGCCTCAACATTCCGACATCGGAGGGGCAGGCTCTGGGCGATGGCTCTGCACCGCCCCTGCTCCCCGGACAGTGGGCAGCAGCCACCCAGGACTGG